GGTGAGATCTAAAACCTGCAGGGACACCGGCCCTCGTGGACTGAGATTGCCCACCCCTGCCCTAGACAGACCTGACATAGCAATATGCAACCGGTGTTAGAGGAAGCAAGTGTTAAAGCGATAAGCAGTGTAAACTCTGCACAGCATATGTCACCCCAGGACAATTATCACCTTCAAAAATACCTCTGCACGTGTCTTGTGGTATTAGATGCAAAGATACAGTCAGTGCAAGAACACTGGAACAATAAATAAAATAAAACGTGCAAAACTACATAGAAAAAATGTAAATAAATAAAATCAGCAAAAATATTACCTTTTACTTGTTATGAAATGTTTAAATGCCACAGAACACACATTCACTTCACCCATGTGTCTTTATCTGACAGCTGAGGTGACTCAGAGCAATTAAACTCTTGGCACTCAACTATCAGCCACACCCAAGGACATAAATAAAACAAGAACACATGTTAAAACAAAAGTAGCTGACTGTTTTGGGTGTGTGTGGCTCGTCTTCATTTCTCTTGTTAAATACATTAAATTATACATACGGTCTACCGTTTCTGTCTTTTTTTTTTTTTTGGTAATACTATGTAATTTATATTTCTTGTATTACTATTTGAGTTCGGTGCTTTATAGGAAAGTTTACTACTTGTTAACTGAAACTAGCGCATCCTTCCTACCTTTATTCTTCTTCTTTTTTTTGCCTCCATGTCCTTCATGTGCAAATCTTTGTCAACCATTCCTGGAATTGAGGCCTACATGGTACAAATTTCCCTTTATACAGATTCCAATAGAAGCTCAGAATCAACATTTATTGGGAAAACAAGAACCAGGCACGATCATCCAACTTGATGAATAAGGTAGTTTATCTTATGTTTTGTTTTTTACAGGGAGCACAGACTGCTACTGCAGTAAAGTGAAACGATACCAGACATTTGTTATGAATATATAGATTTCCTCTGTAGATACAGTACTGTGCACAAAGCACAGCCAAGGACACCGGCGGCTCTGTCCACAGTCATTTAAATGTGACCCGCTAGCTAGAGGAGACCCTCCTGCCCCTGCTGTCTCCGGTTTGTCTTACCAGAAAGCGGGTGGAGCTCGTGCCCTGGTCGATAGCAGCAACCAGTGGCCCCAGCATTATCCGGTGGGAAGACGCGGCCATGGTGCCGTTCATGGGCAGCCCAGGAGCTACGGGCACGGAACTGTGCAGGAAACCGATTATTCCCACCGGCGAAGCGGTTCCGTGCTCAGGCAAAGTCGGTGGGTCAGTCGCTGCCTTCAAACGTAGCGGCCACTAGTGATGACGCAACTGTCTGTAATCGTGTCTCATGCGGACCAATACAATGTTCCCAAGAAAATTACCATTTTCAACGAGCATTAGGTGCTTGAGCTGAAGTGTAAGGTGATTCTGGAAAGTTCTGCAGACTCACTAACAAAAACATTTGTTCCCATACCGGGAGTCGAACCCGGGCCGCCTGGGTGAAAACCAGGAATCCTAACCGCTAGACCATATGGGACGTTAATTAAAGGGTGTGATGTCGGATATTTATATGTCCATTTGACAGCTGAGCGAGTATGGCTGTAGTAAGAAAGTGTCATATTATGAACGAATTTAAGTACGTCCCTCTAGGGTGTTTGAAGGAGTCTATGGCGTAGCTGCTGTTTTCTAAAAACCTTTCAGCAGGGTGACAAGAATACGTGCCGCTTTCTTCTTTATCCACCAGAGGGACATCATACATACATACATCATCATCGAGCTTCCGTTTGACTTCCGTCTGTGTCGTTCAGCGGCGGCTGTCGATGACGTCATCAGAAATGGACCATGTTGTCATTCTTGAAATGAGTGAAGCGGTCGTCTTCACATTTCATTCTTCTTGAGTTCTTGATCGTATTTTCACCACAGAGCCTTAAAAATGTAAGTAAGGGGACAAGACTTTTGCTATTTAAGCCCTGAAATATATAACACGCGTGGCCAGTTATTGAGCCAGTCTGACTGATTTCTGCATTTGTAGGGCTGACTACTGGAAGTCACAACCAAGGAAATTCTGCCAGTACTGCAAGTGCTGGATTGCAGACAATAAGCCCGTGAGTATACAGGAAGATGTGGCTCTGTGTTACCGAGGACGGCGTCCACGCTAATGTTTCTCGTGTTTTTCTCTGCAGAGCATCGAGTTCCACGAAAGGGGGAAAAATCACAAAGAAAATGTGGCTGCCAAAATTTCAGAGGTACTGACTTTTATTCTGTTTTTTTTTTAATATACGAAGTAACAGATTACATAATATTATCAAATTATTAAAATAATTGAGCAAATAATAAAATTAAGATCTATTTTGTAGCATCCACAAGTCTAGAAATTGAGCTTCATGCATCGTGTTAAATTGATTTACATTCATATGAAAAGCTTCCCATTGAGGCCTTCAGTCTGTTTACTTACAAAGACACAGGTGTCTGTAAAAATCAATAAAGTCTTGAATTACCTGGGATCTACTATCCAAAGCAATGGACAGTGCACAAGAGAGGTAAGATGATTTACATGATGGTAGTGAGACCTGCTAACAAAACTATAAACTGTCACAGCCTCCAATGTATATGCTGCATATGTAGTGACCAGTTATTCATTACTTTTTTTTTATTCTATAATTTATCCCAGCATCTTTAAACTGCACCATTGTACCATTACACATATGTATATGGTATACAAGTTGTTATTGTTGCTATTGTCTTTCTGATTCGTTGGAAGTGACCAGCATGTACAGGATTAAAGGGACAGCCCAGGTCAAGTGATTTGGAGAGAAAGTTAGAGAAGCAGGCTGAGATGGTTTAGACATGTGTGGAGGAGGGATAGTGAATATATTGGACAACATGGAGCTGCCAGGCAGGAGGAAAAGAGGAAGACCTCAGAGGAGGTTCATGGATGTAATGAAGGATGACATGCAGAGGGTTGGTGTGACAGGCGAGGGCGCTAGAGATAGGATGAGATGGTGGCAGATGATCCCCTAAAGGGAGCAACTGAAAGAAGAACCACATAATACACACATATTTTTTTCTTAAATATTTGTCACTATAATATCACAAATTTTATACTGTTTACCCTGACTCCTTCCTTGAACAAGCTCTATTTTTGATTTATTTTAGCTTTATTATGCATAAAATGGCCCCCAGTACACGGTCACACAGGTCATTATCAGTTTGTGCTCGAGTGACACACACGGGCATGAGCAGCCTGCCTGTCTTGGCACCATTCTCACGACTGGCACGAGAGATAAGGTGCAGACATAAACACAGCTGACTGCAATACTGACTCCCTATTGGCCACAAGCCACTGCCACTCATCTCACCCTATCTTTCTCCTGCAGATTAAGAAGAAGAGCATTCAAAAGGCAAAGCAGGAGGAACGCATGTCCAAAGAGTTTGCTGCGATGGAGGAAGCTGCGTTGAAGGCCTATCAGGAAGATCTGAAGAGGATGGAAAGAGAAGCGCAAGGTAATTGTCAGGGGATGTTCTTTAACCTGTGAGTATAAGTCCTTGGATTTATTTCAGCGGAGCATCTTTGTGTTTAGGTCTAAGCTCTCCGGAGCAAACGACAGCACGGCCACAAGTTCAAGTGAAACCCCAGCCAAAGAAGCCACAGAAGAAAGCGGCGAAGGCGAGCGGTAAGGTCAGACAGCAAACAGAAAAGCAGGTTTGGGTTGAAGGCCTAACAGATGATGGACACACGTATTACTACAACACAATAACAGGAGGTGAGGAATAATGGAAAATGTCGTGAAAGTCTGTGTGTGTTTATAGTTTGTTTAGTTTTTTTTTAATATATTTCATTTGATTATTGCCTTTGTCTGTTTATATATGACAGAATCTAAGTGGGAAAAACCAGAGGGCCTCCAGGGAGCGAGTTCAGCCTCTGAACAGACTCAACAGACTGGAGTTAATATCTGTTTTATATAATATATATATATTAATTTAATTACAAATGGGGTGTTCTGTTGCTCATATATCTTAATATTGTTTCTCCTAGAGTACTTCAGGCTCTGCTTGGATGGAAGCTGTCAGTCCTGATGGTTACACATACTACTACAACACAGAAACTGGAGGTGGAGTGGTTCTCTTTCTAAATTAATGGCTTCTCCTATTTCATGTCATCTGTGGGATTACATCCATTTTTTCCCTCACCCTTCAGAGTCCAGCTGGGAGAAGCCTGCTGACTTCCCCCCTGATGAGGTGCCTGGATCCAGCTCTGAGTTCAACCAAGAAGGAGAGAGTCCAGAGGATCCTGTGACCCCTCAGCCAGAGCCTCTATCAGGAGAGGAGGAGAGTTCCAACGGGGCCCCATCATCTCAAGAAGCTGAAGCCCCTGAGAAAACCAGCCAGGAGCCCAAAGTGCCAAAGATCAGCTTCAGGGTCAGTAGTTCAAAGAGAAGGCGAGAGTCTGTATAGACGAACTTCACCTTCTTCTTGTTACAATTCAGGTTTCCTGATTTTTGTTTGCAGAAAAGGAAAGCAGAGACAGAGCCATCAGAAAAAGAGGATGAAGGTAAAGTGAGTGACGACACTCCTAAAGATGACGATAAAGAGGCGACAAAAGTTGAGGAGGTCCAAAACACAACAGCTGAACCGGAGAAAACAGAAGAACAGGCGACACAAAGGGAGACGAAAGCCAAGAGGCCAAAAGCTGCCAATCCATACGGAGTCTGGGAGCAGATCCTGCAAGAAGAGGATCCGTAGTAAGTGCAACATCTTTGAGTCGTTACACAGTGAGATCCTACATATGTGTGCCGGCAGCTACTTAAGAGCTTTTTCTTTGTCTCTTTTATTCTCATTTCAGTGAAAAAGTGGATTTGCAGCTGCCTGAAGTGGAGGGAAGCACTGCCAGCACTCCAGCAGAGCTGCCCCCGGAGCCCAAGCCGAAGTTCAAAGAACGCATCATCACTTCCCTCGGAGAAGAAGGCGGTCCGGCATCGTTCCGAAGGAACAAGACACAAAATGGCAAATCGAGGAGCCTCCGACAGAGAGACAAAGACGACTGACCCCCCCAACAAAGCCACAAAAACAATAACGTCTAAGTCAGGATGCCGCAGAATGAGACTTTTACACTCAGAGAACTTCTACTAAAAACATTTTGACATTTTATTGCATCTATTGGATCTTTGATGTGCAGCAGTTTCAGGAGAAATTGGGTTGAGAAGTTAAAAATTCTTTAAAATGTGTTTTTCTAAGTTTTAACCACTGGGTACAGTTTTTGTGTACAATAGCTGGTGATTTAGATAGGTTGGTATGATGTTGGGCGACCCGTTTATTAATGTGAAGAATTTTCTCAGCAAATCAAAAAAACATTTTCTACTTCAATATCTTTTTTTTTTGTTTAAGTAAGTAAGGCATCCGACTGGAAACATCAGTCTAGTATTTGTCAGCTGAAGTGAATAATTGCTATACTTTTATAAAGCAGTATGGATTGTAGTTATTAACATGAGAAATATGTGATGTCAATAAATAATGACCTTCCAGTTAGTGGGGAAAAAAACAACTTTAGAAAAAGGCTTGGCTTTTTTATTCACGCCAGAAAACATTTACTCAAAATAGGAGCTCAAGTGGTTGTTGGTCATGGCACACATGCTGGGTGTGACATGCTTTTATGGGTCAGAGTGTGTGTATAAAGCTGATAGGTGGCTTTGCCGCACCCTGATTGGCAAAGAACCATAAAAGATGCAAACAATAAACAACACTTTGACTTTCAGTTTGACTTTATTTAAAATTGCAAAGTTGGGCATTGATCTTGGTGGAGGATGAACTTTCCGAGTGTCATCCTACTTCAGGAAAGGTCACAACAATACACCGAACTATATCAATACAGTCATTTTATTAGGTACCCTTTGCTAATACCAGTTGGACCCCCATTTTTTTTTACCTAAAGAGCAATCTCAGTTCTTTGCAAAGCTTCAACAAGGTGTTGGAAACATTCCTCAGAGATTTGTCGGCTGCACATCCATGATGAGAATCTCCTGTTCTACCACATCCCAAAGGTGCTCTATTGGATTGAGATCTGATGACTGTGGGGGCTGTTTGAGTACAGTGAACTCATTGTCATGTTCAAGAAACCAGTGTGAAATTATCTTAGTTTTTTGACATGGTGTGGGATCCTACTGGAAGCAGCTATCAGAAGATGGTACACTGTGGTCATGAAGGGATGGACATGGTCAGCAACAACACTCAGGTAGGCTGTGTTGTTTAAATGAGACTCAGTTGCTACTAAGGGGTGAATAACCCACGCCATTACAACACCAACAACCTAACAGAAATTTGATTACACAAAATTCTAACCGTAACATAAAAATGTTGCAGTAACTGAGTGCAAAACACTTTATACCAAAGGTGGGCAATTAATTATTTGAAGGGGCCACATGAGAAATATTCATTATATCGCTTTATAGGCTTATTGATCAAGAAATCCCTCAAACAAGTAATAAGAACAGATTAAAAAAATTATTGGACTGCCTCTGCCCTCCCTAGATGATCTTTTTAGGACCTGCTGCCCCTGCCGAACAAACAATATTCTGCAGGACAAAACACACCCGTCCTACAACCTTTTCTTTGTACTTCCATTCAGCAGGCGTTAGAAAGTCCTCAAAGTCCATACCACCAGGTTGTGCAACAGTTTTTTCTCAGGACCATCACAGAACTCAACAGACTCCACCTATCCTTCTTGGCAAGAACAACTTAATTTAATGTAAGTATTTAAGATTTTGTGTAAATAGGTTTGTGTGTGAATGCTGGTACTGATCTAGAGCATGCACAAGAAAATTTCATTTTGCTGTAGTTTTTACAATACTGTGCAATGACAATAAAGGGGACTCTGAATTCTGAATTGATGTGCCCTCCACAACAGTTCCAGTTTCTCATGTGGCCCCTAGGGAAACCTAATTGCCCATTCCTGCTTTATACAGTGGTAATAACACAATAAAACCTATAAAATAGTTCAAATAATACAAAATAGATGGAAATTAACTGTCACTGCTGCGGATCTGTTTTACATACAAGCAATATTGTCAGGCTTAAGAAGAGATGCTAAAGGATTCAATTCTAGAAAAACAAGCAAAAGAAGTCAGAGTTCCCAAACCAGAAGATTTCAAGTGTCAAAGTCAGAACATCTCAGAGGAAAAGCCCAAAAACTGAGCAATGACATCATCCTCGGAAGTCTGTATACTGCAAAATACTGTGTTTGAGAAACAGTTCCATAAACCAAAGCTGAGTTAGAGTAGTTATAGTCTGTACTCTGCCCCTTAAACTGGCTTCACTGCCACTTCACTTTCATAATAGAGGTCCAAAACCTGTGGCTCACCTATTATATGCAGTACAAGATTGGACGAGCATGAGTAGGTTGATAGAGGGGATGAGGCTGGCACATGCCATCAGAGGGCATCCGTCTGGTTCACAATCTCCAGGATGTCGCCTCTTCTGAAGGTGATGCCGGCATCGGCGCAGGGGACGGCCGGGTCCTGCTGAGGTCATGGCCAGTCATGGCCCATACATACAGCTAGCAAACAGAAACACACAAAACAAATTTTTATAGTGTGAGTATTTTTATGTGAACAGAGGCACTTACCTTTGACATGTACCCTTCAGCTACAATAAAACTAACATGTTTAATAAATAAGTTAAAAAATATTTAGTGATTGGTACTCATTGCTTTCAATCATGTCTCCCATGGGAAGCTGACATAACTTAAAAGTACAACAGAGTCACTTCTTCAGTTTAGCAAAACTAAATATTTATTGTTAATTTTTAAAAATTATTCTTAATTAAACAAAAGTCAAAGATCTGGACATTGAAAACGTAAAAATATGTCACTTTTTTTTAAAAATTAAGGCATCTGATTACCTCAATTGAATTGATTACTGCTAATTTAACAGTAAGTTTCTTCAGTTTAACAGTATTTTCTTGGCATCCACTAATAACACACTGCAATGTCTATTTAAGAAATATGAAAATAAATAATTTTCAAAAGAATATTAAATGCTAAAGACTAGGGATGGGAACTGATAAGAATTTAGCGATACCAATTATCAATATCATTTAACAATTCGATTCTTCATTGATTCTCTAACTGGCTGGTTAGGGAATAAAATATAGTACAAATGGTTTTGGTTACAGTAACTTTTTAATTTCAAGTATACATCAACAATTTGTATTTGACTCAAACAAAATTAAAGCTGGTTTAAAAAATAAAAGTTCCTCTGTCAAATGAACACTTTAACATAAAATCCAACTGCAATTATGAACTTTTGAAAATTAGCAGTTTTTGAGCGAAAAATTTGAATGTTTTGTATTTCAGAAAGGATACAAGATCTCTCAGTTGGGGTGGAGAAGGCTTGGACAAAGAGACACTTCTCAGCTAAAGTTGATAACACTGGCAATGAGTCCTTCATCCACCACCAGACTGTGGCACTGTCCTTGATTGGAATGGGAAAAAGACTTCTATGCAGTTGGACTTCTTGATCCACTCTCTGCTGCAGAAGGATGGGCAGTCTCTGGCCACAGGTCAGACTTTTTTCACTAAACACAGCAAGCGTGGACATGTAATGCTTCAACATCAGCACCAGAAACTCCTCTGCATGTCCTCATTGCCAATTCTGCCAAGTCTGCAATATAAACAAAATAATAATAAACACATTTTAATATGTTAATATGTTTAAGCAAGCAATTTTTATATACCCCAAAGATTATATACTTCTCCTTCTTGATGGGCTTTCTTAGGCAGAGGTCTACAGCTGCAGTTTGGATGGCTGAAAACTGCTGACAGAATCTCTCCATCATCACAAACATGATGTTATCATTTTATATTGATCCTAATCTGTTGATTTACATTTTGGCTGACTTTTATTCAAGTATTTAAAAAGTATTCATACCAAGAAGTTGCTGGTTCTCCTTGAGGATTACTCTTGCCATGTGGGATCTCTTCATCCATACGATCACAGAATGAATCCTTCCTGCCCAGTTGGAAACTGTATTGCAGCTGTACAGCTTTCGGCGTCCAAGATTTAGTGTGTGTGCAAAACGTGGCAGCTTGATAAATTTCACCTTTTTCACAGCTACATCCATGCTTGCCACAACCTTCTCTTTTACTCCAAACTCCTCCATGATTTCTCTGCCACAGATGTCCCCATCTGTGATTCATAGACTGAGGACTTTTTCCTTATTCTGACCTCATCTGACATAGTACCAACATTACAGTGAGGTAATGGTCTTGAGTAGAACTTGTCCATCCATCAGCTGTGATGACTGCCTTTGTGACATGTTTCAGATCTGAGATCAAATTGCGCTTTTCAACCTCATACCAAACAGGGACCAAATGATTTGTTAAACGGTCTCTACTTGGGGGATGGTATTTTGAATTGAGAGTGTTTGTCATCTCCCTATAGAGAATCTGTCTATAGAATGTGCCTAATAAAATGGCCAGTAATTGTGATTCAGTGTGTTCATTATTTTTAAAAAGCAGCAGTTTTAAAACCCATATTAGCTAAAACTGTAATGATAGGCCTGTTAAAGGTTTTCAAGTTTAAATACCATGTTACTCCCTCCTTAATCTTTAGTGTTATTTAGAAAACTGCAAAGGCACAAAACACACAAGTTACATTTTATTACAAAAATAAAAACCTCTGTTACTTTTGGTTTGTCTTACATTGCATCGTTTGCAATTAATTGCCCAAATAATAGAATAACATGTGTTCTGCAGGCACAGAGCAGTCAGATATGTCAGGAAGCACATCTCCCATAAGCTGCTGTTGGTCTCAGTCTGCAGACGGTCCAGACTCTGTTCGTTACAAACTGCTGCTGTTCTCCGCCGCCTCGAGAAGAGCCTCCTTCTCTGTGTGTTCAAGTATATCAGAGATCAGATCATCGAGAGCCTCCCCACCTCTCATGAACTCCTAAAAACAGACATGAAAAAACACACAACATTGATTTTTACCCTTGAGCTGAAGTAGATAACACTGGCTTCAAACCTAACCTTGATGTCCCTCGTTGTATATCCGGTGCGGTGGTCTGTGACACGATCCTGACTGAAGTTGTAGGTACGAATTCTCTCTGACTGAGAGCGTGTGCCCACCTGTTTTTAGACACAGAGGAACAATGACAAAGTTGGAAAAGAGAACAAAAATCTGTGAATGTTACAGGTTATGTTTTCCTGCTTCACCCACCTGCTGCTTTCGTGCTGTATTCCTCTGTTCGGTCTCTTTACCCATCATGCCTTGGTAGAGCCTGGCTCTCAACATGCGCATGGCCATTTCTCTGTTTTGCAGCTGAGATTGAGTCTGCTGACACTCTGCAGTTATTCCTGCAAAGAGGAAAAGACCTGCTGTATCTGCTTTATGTGTTAAGTGATGCATAAATGGATCATAAATGTATTAGGCAAACTTTAGATGACAACTTAGCACTCAACATTAAAATTTGATCCCTTTGGGTTCCAAAAACACTAACATGGCAACACACAAAACAATGAAGCTTCAAATCATGTGGCCATACAAGCAGGGCAGTCAGGTGATGTACACTATATTGCCAAAAGCATTCGCTTGTCTGCCTTCACACATGTATGTTGGAACAGGAAGGGGCCATCCCAAACTCTTTCCATAAAGTTGGAAGTATGGAGTTATCCAAAATGTCTTGGTATGCTGAAGCATTAAGATTTTCTTTCACTGGATCTCAGGTCCTGAAAACCAAACCCACACCATAATCCCCCCTCCACCAAACTTTACACTTGGCACAATGCAAGTACTGGTCTCCAGGCAACCGCCAAAGCCAGACTCATCCATCGATTCGTCAATCCAGAGAACACGTTTCCGCTCTAGAGTCCAGTGATTTACACCACTGCACGTTTGTAGAAGCAGTCTGCATGGTGCTTGATTTTATACACCTGTGGTGATGGAAGTGATTGGAACACCTGAATTCAATGATTTGGATTGGTGAGGGAATACTTTTGGCAATATAGTGTACCTCACTCAGTTATCATTCTCTTTCAAAGGTGTCAAGGGACAACTGCCTCCTCAAAGTGACTGGTCTGTCTTAGACAGAGGTGGTGGAGGAGCTTCCATGATTGGTTACCACAGAGAGCACCTCCCATAGTGAGTGAGTGAGGTTTGAAAGAGCACATCACAGTGGCTACAAGCAAAACGGCATGGTGGTACAGTTTACCTGTCGGAAGATGAACTACGCGCACTGCGCTGTCTGTTGTGTTAACACTTTGCCCCCCAGGACCACGAGATCTGAACGTGTCGATTCGAAGATCCTTTGGATCGATGTGGACTTCAAACTGCAAGCACCAAAGATAAAAACAGAGATGTACTGTTTAACCCTTCCAGTAAACAAAGAGAAGTCATAAAAAGAAAAAAAACGCAGTGTACCTCAACTGGCTGAGGCAGGATGATGACAGTCACGGTTCCTGTGTGGATTCGCTGCATCCTGGAGGAGAGCCCCACCTCAGGGATCCTTTGAACCCGATGGGTTCCTCCTTCGTGCTTCAGGTGCCTGTACACGTTCTCTCCAGCTATTCTCACTGCTGCATGGTGCAGACCACCTGAGAGACACCGTTCATGCAGCTGTAAATGTTGTGGTAGGAGGTTTATGTCCACTCATCACCACAAGTTTAAATTTCTTCTCTAATCCACACATAGTCATTCAATCCCTTGATGAGTGAGTTGGAACTAATAACAAAGACACTCGGGGGGGATGAATGATACAGAATGATATGAATGATACAGAAATACAAAAATTACCTTACCATACTCTGCAGGTGTGTAGTTCAACACCTCAAAGTCCCAGTTTTTGTAAAATGCAAAACCCTGGTACATGTCAAACATTTCTTTGGTGAACTGCTGACAAATGTCACCTGAAACCACACATGAGAAAGTATAACACTTATTTTCCATAATAACACTTATTTGCAGTATTTTACTGTGAATTGTATTTTGAATTTATAAAAACAAATTCAGAGTTTTGCTTTCCTTCATACCTCCTGTTGTCCGCCCTGATACGACCTCCAGCAGAACATTACTCGAGTCAAGAGGATCAGTGGGGATAAGAGCTTTGATTAGCTGCGGTAAAAAGAAAACCTCATGAACAAACAATGGTCCGTCACACACTTCTGCATTAATTAGCTGTGTCTTTTGGGTTCTTACGTCTCTTCTTAAAGCCAAAATCTTGCTGGAGATTTGTGCTTCCTCCTCTTTTAGCAGCTGGGTCAGCTCTTCATCTTTGGTGCCAGCTAAACCTGCCATGAGTAAGGAAAATAATTTGATTTATTGTGTTTAAGAATGCAAAGTAAAACTGTGCTCACACAAAGCTGTAAATACATGTGTTATTTAAATAGTTAGAAGACCTCTGGAGATTGGACACCTGAGAAACACGTTTGATGGTTTTCTGTGGTTTGAGAGGTGTGTTTATAAAGCCATTACATGTATATATAGTAAGTTTAAAAAA